GTCACCCCCACCGCAACCGCCCAACCCACCTGAAGGGGCCGTGGCTGCAAGGGTTGCCCCCCTCCCGCCGACTCCCCCCACACCTGCGGGTTGCACTATTTATAACTCAGCGCCTATTCCGGGCCTCTGGGCTCGAGCGGGCTGCAGCGCGCAGCGCTAATCTTCGCCGGGATCTCTGCGCCCCCCAAGGCCTGGGGAGATAAATTTAGCTTCAGGAAGCTCTGGGGAACATTTTCCAAAACTCCACGTCCCAGAGAAGGCGAATCAGAACCCCTCTGCTCTCAACCTCCCTCCGGCCAGCCACCAGGCGGCGTAGGTCCCCCAGTTCCTGGAACCCAGCGAAGAGTCTGGGGCGCTGCCTTGAAGCTGGGATAGGTAAGAGTTGAAGGCGAAATGTGGAAAGGTACTGAGGGCTGGTGGTCAGAGCGTCCGAGAATGGCCTGAAGAATGGGTATGCCCAGAGAGCCTGGAGTACAAAGCCTCAGCTGGGAGTAACAGAAAGGGGCTGCACACTCATGCCTATTGAAGGGGGAAATAACTCATATGCAAACAAGATGCAAACAAGAGCCTATGCCCTTGAGGGTCTGCTCTCTGGCGCTGGTGAAATGACTGCCACACCCCTTATTCCTAGGGCCTTACTGGGAAAACGTGGGACCCTCCCAAGATCATTACTATAATATCCAGTTTATTGCCTGTGGCTGCTCAGACCACTTCGCTATGACCTCTCTCCTCCACCTGTCTTTCCCACACTACTGAGGGTCTTGTATCCTGCAAAATCAGCTGGGAATTCTGGTGTCCTCAGGCCAACGTCCTTAGGGTTTGCTTCCAGCTCTGCCTGTTACCTTCCCCGTTTTACCCCACCCATTCCCCTACCCCTTGTGGCCACCAGAAGGCCCCAGGGTGCAGAGGGGTAGGTGAGATCTTACCCATCCCTCCCTATTTTGGCACTCTGCTTGCCTTTACCCCTATACCCCTACACCCCTCCCCCTATCCCTCCCAGCCATCTAGCAAATCCCTGAGAGAGTAGTTTGGATGCTCAAAACCTGAGCTTACAGGGGTAGAGAACCTACTTTCAGCCAAGGGCCATTTGGATATTTATAACATCATTCGCAGGCCATACAAAATTATCAACTTAAAAATTAGCCTCCTTGCCCTGTTTGTCTCAGCGGTTAGAGCATCAGCCCAAGGACTGACTGGTCTCAGTTCTATTCCAGCCAAGGGCATGTACCTCAGTTGCAGGCTCGATCCCCGAGGCAACCAATTGATGTGTCTCTTTCACATTGATGTTTCTCTCTCTCTTTCCCTTCCACTCTCTGAAAAGCAATGGAAAAAATATCCTTGGTGAAGATTAAAAAAAAATTAGCCTGCTATATTTGGTCAAATATTTAATTAACTCACCCCTAATGTGATGGCTGGAACTGCTTCTCTTTGGTGAGAGCTTGGCAGGGCCAGACCAAATGATTTTGTTTGGGGAACCGAACCGAACATGGGCCGGATGTTCTCCAACCCTACTTGGAAAGAGAGCATTGCAGGGAAGCTGCTGCATCTCTTTTCCCTTCTAGAGGAGTGAGCAGGTGTAGAACAGGGAACCATTTCCTGGCATGTGTGGATTAGGTGAAAATGAGGAAGCTGGGGCCCCCAAATGAGCTGGGGAAACCGAGAACAAGGGGAGCTTAGGGTTGAAGTGGAAGTGGGAAAACATGGAGTGGGTGCAGAATGGGGGTGGCAGTCCCCTCCATACTTTTGCTTGCCTGGCCTAGCCTCCCAGGCCACCATCCCCAGCACCAGTTCAGAAGAGGAAGGGAGGGTAATTGAGAGAAGCCCTGAATTTGAGATGAGAAAATCTGGGTTCCCTAAATGACTACCCTAGCACAGTATGCTGTGGGTATGATTTGGATGGGTCACTTTACCTCTCTAGGCCTCTTTCCTTCACTGTTAAAATGGGTAATACTTTTGTTCTACTTTTTTTTTTTTAAAAAATATATCTTTATTGACTTCAGAGAGAGGAAAGGAGAGGGAGAGAGAGATAGAAACGTCAATGATGAGAGAGTCATTGATCGGCTGCCTCCTGCACGTCCCCAACTGGGGATGGAGCCCGCAACCCAGGCATGTGCCCTGACCGGGAATCAAACCCTGATTGCCTGCATCCTAGGTCAATGCTCAACCGCTGAGCCATGCCCAGCCGGGCTTTTTAAAAAATTCTTACCCAAGGATATATTTATTGATTTAGAGAAAGGAAGGGAGAGGGAGGGAAAAAACATAGATGTGAAAGAGACCTGCTTCCACTCATATCCCCATTTCAACTTTTTCTTTTTTCCAAACCACCTATCACCTAATAACATCTCTATATTTATTTTTTAGATTTATATTTTATTTTCTGTATCCACCCACCAGAATGTAAACTCCACAAATACAGGAATCTCTTTTGTTCACTGCTGTATTCAGAGCATCCAGGTTGGTATGTAGATGCTCAATCATATTTGTTAAGTGAATGAATATGTGGTATATGTAGAGATATATAGACTATCTCTATAATGCTCTCCAAGAAACTAGTAACCATGGTTACCTCCAGGGAGGAGAGCTGGGGGCTGGAGGATAGAGGTAGGAGAGAACTTTACCTTTTACCATTAGAATCCTTTACTCTAGGCATATATTACCTTTACAAAAATAAAAATAAGCCCAGAGAAAAAGGAGTTAACTAAGAAGAAGGCTGAGGTCAAGAGCTGGTCCCTGGGAGTTGGGGGAGGGTCCCATACATCATCTCCAGGCCAGTTCCCAGGGAGAGAAAGAGGGGGGCAATAACTGGGCCCCAAGAGGGGCAAGGGAATGAGGGTAGAGATCCTAGGGATCCTTTGAACAGGCCCTATGGCTGGCTCTGCGGTTGCATGGGGCTGTGAGTGGGCATGTCAGTAAGCATGAGCAAGACGATGAAAATGGCTCACGTGTACCTGCCACTGGGAGTAATTCAGGGAAAACAATTATCGGTGGCTGCCAGGGGAAGTGAAGAGTCAATTCTTTTCCTTCTGGCTGTTTGTGTCCTGTGATGAGCCTGAGGGACCTGTGTGACCGCATAGGTGCCTGTTTCTTGCAGCTTTGTGAGCTGGAGGAACAGAGCCCTTACTTCCTCTGTGAGCTGGGGACTAACGTCAGCCCAGGGCTTTCCCCAAGACCCTCAGAAGCAGGAGCTGGTCAGACCGGGTCTTCTATTTGAGTTCCCATACTAATGCACAGGGCCTCACAAAAGACCCTGCCCAAGCTTGACCCCTCCCTGCCCACAGGTTGGGAGGAACCTGGCCTTTCCACCCTCCCTACTCAGGCTCCAGTGAGTCAGGAAACCTGGCTTTCAGTCTCAGTTCCATCTAGGACAACCTCCTTCCTTCCCTGGTCAGCTCCAAGACCCTTCCAGTGCTGACATTTTCTGATTCCCCTTTAGACATTGAGAACTTTTAGCCTCAAGGCCTATTTATTATTTGTATAGTTCAGTGATTCTCAGAGATATTAGGGGGCAGCCCATTCCTGGCACTAAGAGGGTAAGATCAACCATCTGGGCTGGTGGGCTCACTGTGCCAGGCTTGGAGGAGTGTGAGGTCCTGCTGCAGTCTTATTAGGGACCCAGCCAGCAGGCCAAGGTCCTGCGCACCAGCGGTCCACCAGAGGTGGGGACTGGGAATGGAGGCTTAGAAATGAGGCAGGTCTGATGGTCAGATGGCACCAACTCAAAGCAGGATCCACACTTCATTCCTTGCTTGTGGCCCATTCTTGTTCAAACGCAGCTAGCCCCAGGAGTCTTGATGGAGGTTGAGCTGGGCACTAAAGAGATTAGAAAGCTGAGAGACAGGCTCTGCCACAGAAGCAGCAGCCAGGCCTCTGTCTGTTTGCCCTACCTGCTCACCTGAGCAATGCCAGGCTGTGGTGCTGGCAGGGAGGCAGTTTCCTGCTGCTATTAATCCAGCAGCTCCTTGATACACCAGCAGCAGAGGAGGACATAGGCAATTTCCTTCAGGATGCTCTGCAGGCCCTGCCACCTGGTGCCCATCTCTGCAATAGGCACTCGGAGCCCAGCATCTCCCAGGGCCCCTCTGAGGGAGAAAGGTAGGGCCTGGGCTAGGGCCTGCGTTCCGACCTGCATGTGGACAGCAGCTCTGAGGGTGAGGGAGCTGCCTCTGGTGCCTTTTATCAGCACTGTCCCTACCCCCTCAGGCCTCATGACTACAGGGACAAAGGCCCCAGGGTCTAACAGAGGGAAGGTTCTGGGCCTGAGGATGGGCTGAGTCAGCCCCTATGCACAGCCATGTAGGAGGGATGGGGTTAGGAGGAGGTCTGGCCACTCTATCTTTCATTCTCCACAGCCAGGCTGGTTCAATTTCCCTCCCTCCAGCCTGAGCCTAGAAACCCTGGGTGCCCTGCCTGGTTGTTGGTACCCCCAGTGGTTGGCACAACTCCCTGCTCCTGCCCTCTGGTGGGCTCCTGCCGAGGTTGGCGCTCAGTCAGAATCACCAATGAGAACCTTTCCAGCCCCTCGGAGTGAGCACTGCCAGCTCAGAGCTGGCAGGACCTGGCCCACGCTGCTTTTCCCATCCCCTTGGGCTCAGGGAGACACAGCCAACACAACAGGCACATGAGAGGAGAGGCACAGTTTATTGAGAGGTTACACCCCAGGACAGCCTCCTTCTCTTCCTCTTGGAGTGGACAGAAGTAGGAGTCACATGCGGGAGTTCCGCTCTTCGTCTTCATTCTCAAGTAGGTAGGCTGGACGGTAGGTGGGCTGTCCTCCTGGGCCCAGGTACTTCAGGGCTGGGTTCTGCACCGTGTTCTCCCGGCTCCCCAGGGACGTGTAGCTGGAGCCAGGAGAACAGAGGGTGAGTGTGCGGTGAGGTGGCTCTCCCTATCTCAGCACCCACACGTTTCCCCACACCCGTTCTCTTCCGACACGCTTACCCTCGGTCATACAGGATACAGTATGGGACAAACAGCTGACGCAGGAAGTCCCATATGTCTCTGTAGGTCCAGTCCTGGGAGGTCAGAGTTGGAGAAGAGTCACAAATACTGCCTTCTCCCACTCTACCCTTTGCTGCCTGGGAAGAGGCCCATTCAGGGTTCTTTTGCTCCCCTGGCCTTTGAGGGCCTGCTATCTGATTCGCTAGTACATCTCGCTCTGCGTAGGCCAAGCAATAAGAGAAGCCTTCATCCTGTGCCCTCTCCACTCCCAATCCACCCTCCACTGTCATGTCAGTTCCACCAGGGCAGGAAGGGGCTATCTCAGTGTCAGCTGGAGCTGTCCAGTAGAACTTTCTACAATGGTGAAAATGTTCTTCTGCTGTGCTAATGCTGGGGGCACTTGAGATATGGCTAGCGCAACCGAGGAAATCAATTTCAAATTAATTTTTTTTAATTGAGATAATTCATGCCATTGAAATTCATCCTTTTAATATACAGTGCAGTATTTTTCAGTCATTTGTATTTTATTTTAATTATGATTAGAACGTAAATAAATGGCTAATGGCTACCGTACTGGACAGCACATGTCTAAGTCATTGTTCTGTCCACAGCAAAAGGCACAATGTCTGCCACTGACTTGGTGCTCAATAAATTATTGGTCAAAAGGCTGAATGAACAAATAGCTCAGCCTTCCTTGGATGATGGGGCCCCTTCATCCAAGCCCCAGGCTCCAATGTCCCTACCTCAGTTAGCCAGGGTGCAATGACTGATAGAGGACATGAGACTGAAGGCTGTAAGTCCTTCTCTGCATTACCAGCAGGGGGTTGATGCGCATGAAGGAGGGCCAGCCTGGGTCCGTGGGGCTGAAGGGACAGAGGCTGCGGGAGTAGGGGTCTGTGCGGCGGGTGCCCATCAGGGCAGCCTCCAGCTGGGGGTGCCGTGCCTGCAGCTGGCTCAGGGCCTGCTTCATGTCTCCCTCAGCCTCCAGCACTCGCAAATTATACCTGAGGAAGAGGGCTGGGGGTGAGGAATGGGCTCCTCCAAGCCCCTCTTGGAGCCCAAACCTCCAGGCCCCTAGTACCTCTTGATGGTGTCCTGTAGAAACTTCTCCAGCTCAGGGAAAGGAGAGATGCTGTGGATATATAGGATCTGGAGGGGTTCTTGAGTATCAGGGCATTTCCTAGGGTGGGAGAGAAACCACAGGCTTGCCAGCACTGGCAGGGAAATGCTCTCCAGAGAACTTGTGCTTTTCTCCTTGGCCCCTGGGAAGCACACCCTCCCCTCCTCCCCGTTCCATGTATTTCCCATCCATCAGAACCTACTTTCTCTGGAAAGCCCACTTGATCTCTCACCTCTCAAATCTGGAGCACACATCCCTGTTTCAGGTAGATAAATCTCACCTCCTCAACAGGACCAGGACCACCCGTGGTCAGGCATGGTGGCTTGCACATCCACACCCAGGACCAGGCATGTCAGATGCTCGATAAATAGGGTGGGGAAACGGGAATCGAGCGGTCACTATGGCTACCTCCCTCCCAAACTCCATCCAGATACCTCTTTTTCTTTCTGCTTCCTAGGATGGGGAACTAGAAAATGGGGCCGATCAGGTATCTTGGTATCTCTGGGGTCTTGCCTCCAGGGGATAGGCTCACCTCTGCACAGCTGCATGGAAGAGGTGCAGGAGGGCAGTGCAGTCCTTGCCCCCATTGAAGCCTACACAGAGCTGGGCGAGGCTGTACCGAGCCAGGGCAGTCTCAATGGTCTGCAGGGCGTTTGCCACCTTTTTCCCTAGAGAAGACCCTGCCAGACAGGTAGGGAAGAGGCGATCAGACAGACACATATGGCCATCAAAGGGCAGTTGGAGCCATGATGCCCTTCCTTAAAACTTTAATATTTCCCCAGCGTTTCTAGGCTGAAGTCCAGATTCCGTCATGCTGCCTACTAGGCCTGCGGAGTCTGCTCCCTGCCTGCCATTCAGCCACACCTCATCTCAGTGTCCACCCTCCAGAATCCTGGTTTCTTTCCATTCGCCTTAATCTCCTGCTGCTTCCTTTCATGCCCTCTTTCATACTGTGTGCTCTTGCCCCCTCCTGGTCCGGCCAAATCCTCCTTATCATGCAGCTTATAGCATTTGCCCAGAAAAGCCTTCCCTGACCCCAGACCAAGACTGATCTCCTTGCTGTAGAGTCCCCCTCATCACTGACATCTCATGCATAACTACCTGTTTAACATCTACCTTTCCTATTAAACTACTGGTCATAAAGTAGGGTGTACTTCTGTCCTGTTGAGCTACCTCCCCAATACCCAGCACAGTGCTGGTGAATGTAGGTACTCAATCATTATCTACTGGAAGAATGAATGAATCAACTGTAGCTATCCTCTACCTTCTCCTGGATTTCTGGGAAGCCTCCAATAGCCCCTGCATTCCCGAGACCTAGGGTGGCACCTGTGGTTCCATGCATCTGCCCTTCCCCGAGGAGGCCCCTACCTGACTTGGCAAGTTTGTATACAGCCTCACTGGCCTGCTCCACAGCGTTGGGTATGTAGGGGACCAGCGATCCCTGAGGCAGACGGGCAGTCAGATAGGCCAGGCATTCCTCCAGGGGCCCTTCTTCCTCTGAGTCCAACGTCAGCTTCACCTGATAGTAGTTGCTGCCCCAGTCAGGGTAGGAACCCAGGCCAAGCCTGCGTCCAAAGTGGGCCTGGGCCTCAGCCAGGATGGGGGCAATAGAGGCCTCGTCAGCTGCCACATACAGCTCCCGCAAGTGGAACTGAACAGCTGTGTTTTGAAACAGTCCCTTCAGCCCCTCTAGCACACGCTGCAGCAGCTCTGGAATGCCTGGGAAGAGGTAGACGTTGCGGACCGAGACCAGTGGGAATCTGAAGGGGCGGCCAGTGTGAGGATCTGTGCCATAATGCAGGCGGGCAGAGGAGGGCACCAGAGACAGCTTCTCCCAGCCCTCCTTTCCTAGGGCTTTGATGGCTGCTTCCAGCTCAGGGTGTGGCTTGAGCTCATCACCAAAGGCCTGTGCTACTGCCTCGAAGGTCACATCATCATGAGTGGGACCAATGCCCCCTGCCGTGAGGACATGAGTGAAGCGGCTGGAAAAAGAGGTGACCTCAGCAGCAATGGTGGCTACCTCATCAGGTACAACAGAGACTCGGCACACCTGGACCCCCAGGGAGCGCAGTGTCCGGCACAGGAAGTAGGTGTTGGTGTCCTGAGTGTGTCCCTGGAAGATTGGAGATGGGGGAAGATGAGAGTGTCAGTGCTGTGGGATGAAGGGCAAAGGGTGCAGGGATGAAAGTTGCATCTGCCTGGTGATGGGGCACTCTGCTCTCTGGGGGATACCACCTCTGGCTGCCAAGAATTCTGGACTGAGCACAAGAGTGAGAAGATCCACATGAAAGGAGTCAGGGATGATACGATATACCTTGGGCCTCCTTCTCTGCACTGTGACTTGACCTCATCTATGCTTATGAAGTCTATTATTAATTCCATGTGGACAACTTTTCTGCTTCCTCACCAATCCGGACAGTTTCAGTCCCCTGGCTCCAAGTGCTTATTGGGCATCTTCATCCTATTCCTGGCTGTCAATGGCATCCCCAGACACTGTCCACAGCCAGTCACGCCCTTCATGCTGTCAACTCCATTTCTGAAATGTATCCCCATCTGCTCTCTTCTCTCTGTCCCTACTGCCACCAAGCAGGTCCTTGGCACCTTTCACCTGGATAGTTGCAACAGCCCCTTGGCCAGGCTCCCAGCCTCCAGCCACAGCACTCTGCCTGGTGCCTCCTGAATACCCTTCCTAATGTGTTACTGTGATTGCATCACTGTTGGGCTCAAAAGCCACTTGTTGTTTCCAACCACATACAGAATAAAGTTCAAATTCTTTTGCAGAATATTTGAGGCTATCTGTCTATGGTGCGTATACAATCTTCTTTTCCAGCCCCATCTCTGCTATTGTTCCACAGTTTAGTGGTTAGATGGTTGCTCTGGAGTAAGAGAGAATCAGGTTGAAAGTCCATCTACCACTTCCTAGCTGTGTTACCTTGGGCAAGTTTCTCAACCTTTCTGAGCCTTAGTCTCATAATATATTTACTAATGTCATGGGGTTGTTGTGAGGATTAGTAAAATCACCTATGTGATGTAATAAGCCCACTGTCAGGTCCTAATAAGCACTAAAAAAACAGGGATCACTATTACTGTTACAAACCTGATGCCTACCATGACTTCCCTGATTAGTCAGAAGGGATTTCTCCCTTCTAGTACTTTCCTTCTATCTCACTTATCCACTCTGCTGAGTGCCTTGGATCATCTCCCAATTAGGTTGGATTTAACTCTTAAATAATACATGTACCTGTACCTCCTTTACAGGATGACTCCTTGTCACTTCTGTAAAGCCCCTCATCCCCATACCATACTGCCTGGCAAATTGCAGGGACTTTGCTATAAGTTTTTCAACAGAGTAATTGAAAGAATGAGGGTCACTTTTCCTCCACCACACTGGACTCACTCCAGGATCCTACGGCAGCAAGGGAACCCCCACCCTGGTTTACCCTCCCTCAACACAATGTGGAGCAGACTCTTAAGGACAGGAGAACGCCCCACCCTCCCCCCTCTTCGGTCCCAGACACACCTTGAGGACCTCATCTCCAACAATGATGATGCCCGCCGTCACGCTGCGCCCTGGGGGAGGTTCAGAGGCCCTAGATGCCATGGTCCTGCCTTCTCTGCCCCTCTGCAGGGCCCTCCAGTAGCCACCCAGACCCCCAAATAGGGGTCGCAAGCACGGGAGTCCCGCCAGATCTAAAGGGCACTGGGGGCCATAGCCTGGGAAGAGGGGGTCCGGGGTCGAGGGAACCTGGAGGAGCCAGAAAGGAAAATGGGGGAGAGCAGGAGGGCATGGTCTTCCTCACCAGGCCCTTGACAACTGACTCCTTTATCCCTGCCTCTTTAATAAACATGTTCTCAAACCCCAGTCCATGCCTCTTTCAATGACTTCTAAGCTTGGCTCTGGTCTTAAAATGACCAGCTCCAGCTGCTACTTTAAAGGTCTTGTGTCTGCCGAGCTCGGCTCCTCGGGTCTGCTCTGTCTTGGGCAACTACACCTTTAAATGTCTCTCCAATTTGGGGCACCTGTCCCTTTAAATGTCTACCTGCTCCTGCGGCTTGGCCCCTTTAAATGCGTTCCCTCCCTCCACCCGGATTAGAACTGAGCCGCCTTCTTCTGAAGGCTTCCGCACCCTTTCTAGCCCGGAATCTCATCTCTTCCCACCACTTTTCCGACTACTGAGTTCTTCCAGGTTCTCACCTGCTTCCGGCCCCTTCACCAGGTCTTTCCCTCTCTCCTTTCCTCCTGTCCCAGGGCGGCTTCCGTACTCGCAGTCCCACCTTAGACCCACACTTACCTCAAATTAATTGGTCACTTTGGCTGTCGCTCAGACTACCTCCACGGGCCCATTGGTGAAATCGACTGTCGCTCGAGAGCTTTAGCTAGAGGGCGGGAGCAATGTTGGGTTGTTATTAGCGACAATCACGTGGACACCTCCCGCCCGGAAATGTGGAGGCCAGGCTCGGGTTCAGGGGGTGGGGTGGCGGGAGCGCTGGGGCGTGAAAGGAACGGTGTTTGGAGGTGCTCCAAGGATTTTGAGGTGCTCCTTTCTGCTGCTGGAAATAAATGGAGGCTTGACTCTAACCTTCGTTCCGTATTCAGATTCTTGTGTGCGCGGCTGTTTTCATTAGGCTAAGGGGTCAGGGGCTGCCACTGGTGTGAGAAGGGATTTTATATTGTAGCAGGTGCAAACTGAAGGAACACCAAGAATAATTGTCAGCGTTGCCTGTGAAGTAGAAGATCCCAGAGGTGAGCTTTTAGTGTGTAGAACTTTCATTTGTCTCTGATATAAAGCTAATTTCTTAAACCTCATCGACAAGACAGAGCTTTGCCCCACCTTGCTCCAGATGGTGCTTAGCTTAAACATCACCTCTCCCAGCTATGGCTCTCGCGTGTACAAGCGAGTGCAGCGACTAGGGAGTGCTGTGTCTGTTTTGTACTCCTCCTTTTGCTCTCATTTCAATTGCCTTTGGTTTAAAAGTGCTCCTCAAACCTTCATGTTCATACTAATCGTCTGGGAACCTTGGGTGGGGCCTGAGAGCTGTATTTAACCCGTTCTCAAGTCATGATGATGCTACTCGTCTGTGGACTTCGTTTTCTGTAGTAAAGGTTTAAAATTCATTCATCATTTGGAGGACTGCTGAACCACACCTGGCTGGCTCCATTTGACTCTCCTTTAAGATAGATATGATGCCTGTTTTATAGATGGGCAACAGGCTCAGAAAGGTGAAGGGATGCCACACAGCCACAAAACAAAGTGAATGGTAGAGCCAGGCTTCTAGACCACTCTTTCTCAAGCAATAAGATGTGTTTTTCCAATTAAAAGAAACTCAGCTCTAAAATAATAAAGTTCTACTTGCCTAATGACATAAGCCATGTGCTCTATTATCTTTATTAGTAATAATGGTGATATTTTGGAGGAGACCCCATCGCCCCAAAAAACCCCAACCACAGGCTCTGGTCCAATCCTTTATCAGTGGTTTATCAAGCTTAAGCATGCACCAGGATCACCTGGAGAGCTTGTTAAAGTTGCTGGGCCCAACCCTGAGTTTCTGATTCAGTAAGTCTAGGGTGGAGCCCACGAATGTACATTTTTGTGTTTCCAGGTGATGTTGATGCTTCTGGTCCAGGGACACTTGGAATAAATGAATGGAAGACAGGGAAAAGTGGTAGATTAATCTCCCTTACTTAGTACTACTATTATTTTTAAACGTAGAGGGTTGGCTGTAATTTGGTGAAATATTTTCAACAGCTACAGTCTACATCTGTTTTCTCAAGTTAGTGCTATAACTACTTGCATATGAATGCTTGAAATCCCCACATCCAGGCCACACTCCAGGCCAATTAAGTCAACACCGATAGGAATGATTTACAAATCAGTACTTTTAAAGCTATCCAGGGGATTTCAAATCTCAGCCAAAGTGAGAATTACTGAAAACAACTCCCAACCACTGTACACATTGAACAGGACATAGGTGTGCCCCAGCCTTAGGCCTGGCAGGAAGTGGAGCACACTAGCAGCCTCTGGCTGATAGCCTCATGTGCCCTTTAAATATTGGGATTATATTAAAGGCATCCCTGACTGTGGGAAACAATTCACTTGTTTTTTGGTTTGTGTTTTTACTCCTCACGCAAGGATATTTTTCCCACTGTTTTTCAGAGAGTGGAAGGGAGAGAGACACATCGATTGGTTGCCTCCCCCACGTGGCCTGACCGTTTGGGGATTGAGCCTGCAACAGAGGTATGTGCCCTTGACTGGAATCGAACCCGAGACCCCTTCAGTCCGAGGGCTGATGCTCTAACCACTAAGCAAACTGGCTAGGGCAACAGTTCACTTGTTTTGATGAGATGATGTTATCCCTATGTAACCTCTACCTTTGGCCAGTAGATCAAAATATATTTCAGTAAATGTTTGACAGCAAGTCTGCTTTTAAGATCAGATTAAAAACCAGTTACCCGAATGTTGAAATAAACCTCGTTATCAGCAAAGAGCTGAGCTTCATTATCCAACTGAAGGGCATATAATTAGAACCATGATATTGAAAGTGATGCTCACCCTGAGAGGGAGAAAAACCTTTACAAGTAGACAATGAGATTATAAAAAAACTTCCTCTTTAATCAAGGCTTTTAACATGAAACAGAGTTCTTGAATAAAATGGAAAGTTTCCAATACATTGAAATGTAAATCACCATACATACACCTGGCAAGAAAAAACCAAAACAGCAAGTTTACACGATTCCCTGTAACAGCCATGGTCTTACTCTCAGATGCTCCCTCCATCTGCCAAGTGTGTTCTGTTGGATACAGAGCTCACCATGGTTTCTGGAGTCACACTCAGCAGAGGCTGCAGCTCAAAGAGCACTCCTCTGGCTGGGTAGTGCCGCTGTTGGCTCTGCTCAAGAAGCAAAGCAGTCACCAGCACATTTCAAACAGTGTATTTTAAACATACTTTAAATAGCAAAGTGAGAAATAAGAAGGCAACATAATGTCGTCAGAAAGATGTTAGCAAATGAGGACAGCTGTGTAAAGCTAGGGGCTGAAAAGTGGCTTGCCAGCTTCATATCTTTGGCTTCTTCGGCAGTGGCCTCCGGAACAGCAAGATGTGAGGTTCTGAAAGAATGAGTGAAATCTAAGAGACAAATTCACACCATTCTATGCACAATCTATAGGGTATCCCACTCCCATTTCCCAGCTATCACCCACTAAGATCTTAAATAACTAAATTAAGATTTAAGCATATGGCCTTAGAAGCAGACCCATAAATGTGGCCTGTTTGCCAAGTATAGAATTGTTATTATCAGTTCTTTTGCTGTTTGTAAAGCCCCAGGGTGTCCTTTATTAGTTTTGCCTGACAGCTCGGTGTCTGGTGTCTTATCAGGAAATATACTTTCTGTGGCTTATTGGGAACATATCCAAGAATTCTCTTTCTGATGGACAATGAAGTAGGGACCATAATCTCTCCCAGGATATATGTGGCCTATAAAAGGAGGATTTTCAGTGATAGGTTGTCTCTGAACTTCCCATATACTTTACTCTTATTTTTGGTCACTCCAGTCTTTCTAGATGACTGGTGGGGTAAGAAACCAATAAACCACCCCCACCTTCCCCTTATGTCTTTGGGTTATGTGATCTATCATTCCCTCAGTGAAGCAGCAGCCCTACATGGTTCTTTCAGTGAATGCACTGACCTGGTTCATGGATCATATAATGGACCCATCCTTGACTCTGCTGAACACCAAGATTCCTCCATTCAGATTCAGACATCAAATGGGTTTTAGGGACCAGCTTGGCTATGTCCTTGGGTAACATGACATGCCTGTAAAAGAAACACGGGAAGGTAGGGAATTTGGGTCAGTACTGGGTTACAGTCTGTTAGGCAAGTGCCTGCATACGAAGCCAAGAGACAGAAGAAAAGAGAAACCAGTTTCTGATGGGAGTTTATATCTTACTGTGGGATACAGGCAGCTAGAAATAAAGGCCAACTTATATAAATCCTCGAAAAGTATATTAAAAAGTACAAATTAATAAATAACTCAAGTGAATGAGCACCTAAATTCCAGGCACTGTTGCTACATTGCCTCTGCCTTCCTGGAGCTTAGTCTTCTAGTTGATTATCCTAAAACAATATAATGGGGGCCCCACAGCACACATGGTATAAATAATAATTAAAGGTGGTTTTGAACAGGATTGGTAAGGGAGAGAAGTTATTTTTGTGGAGAAGGCCTACTATGTAGTGCTATGTGAAAGAACCATCACAAAAGATGAAATAATGCCAGTGTCTTAGCCTTTAAAATCTATTCTCAATTTCATTTTCCGAACGCTGAAGGGATGTGCCACAAGACTTCTTTTGGGAAACTCCATGCTTTCCTACCAATTTCTTTTCATGGCCAAGAAATTATTACTCTGATTTGAATTGGGCTAACCCAGACAGACTTTATCATGCTAAATGAAAATGTACTAGTAAGAGATTTTTTTCTTAAGAGATCATATAATTCTAGTCTAAATGTCTGAAAATAGCTTACATACTAACAAGCCCCTGGCACAAAGACTGGCTTCAATTCTAATTAGACAATAAACAAAACCCCAACCACCCCAAAAAAACAAAAGCCTTTCTTAAATCTAAATACCACTGCCAAGACATATCTTCCAGAGGATGAAACTAGTGACTTCTCCCTAGCCCTGCAATGTGTTATAAGCAGTTTTAGTTATTAGCTCAGTTCAGATGTAGAGGAAAAGAAAGTTAATTGGGTCCAAGCATAGCCTGGGGTCTTTTTCAACAGACCTGGCATAAAGATGATTAATGTATTTGTCAGCATACCCGGAGCTCTCCAGAGGGTCCAGAGCCCTGTACTAGGCTGGAGAAGAAACACAAGCAAGTTTCCATTTTATGGTCTTCAATTGAGAAGACAAGACACAAACTAGGAAGTTGTTTTAAGTATTACCCTTAATACAGTTAGTGGAATGCCAACATTTGTAGAACCCCTTGTCTTCCCTAATGAATTTAGGATTTATCACATGCAGACTCTGTAGGGATTCCTTTCTTCGCCATCCTTGGCAAGTGCTATGTGCTCCCATTACAGTACATCCCTCTATCATACCAATTATCACCTTTCTGAAGTCTGTCAGTATTTCCACAGGTTTTTAAGGTTTGTTGAAAGCAGAGGCCATGCTTACTTTAGAAAAACCTATAAGCACTCCATAATTGTTTCCTAAATAAATCCCCTTCAAATATTTGAAGAGTATAGACTGGGTCCATGTTAAGTCTTTTCTCAATGTTCCTGGCCAGTTTTATTACATTCCACTTCCTTGAAGCCCCCTCCTAAAACAAGCCGGACAACCACGCCCCTTTCTCATTTATTAATCAGCGACACTCAGGTGCTCTAACACCCCTTGCATTGAAGACGCGAGGAAAATTCCAGCTCTGCCTTTGCCACCTTTTCCTAGTAGCTCCGTGATTCTATGGTGTTGCCGTGATACAAGCAGTCTTAATAAGGCAAGTTCAACGTGCTCAATTAAGTTTAGAATGATCCAGGAACCCCAAGCGGTGAGAGCAGTCAGCAGGCTAACACTCTACCCGCGCCCACCTACGCCTCCCCCAAGAGGGCTAACTCCAAATTCCATACCACTTTTGTTACTTTTACAATCGGCTCCACGCTTCGCGCATGCGCTTTATGCTCTCCACTATCACCCCTTGTCCCGTTAATCTGCTGCGCATGCGCCAATCCTGTCTCTTCAGTCCTCGTTACTAACTCCTCGTGCCCTCACTTGTCAAAGCTCACCCCCTCGTTATGGCCCCCACGCCGGCACTAACCGGTACTCGAACTCCTCGTCGTCGTATTTGTCCGAATAGTAAATCTGTTTGTGCGACATGATTGCTCTGCCTCAGGACCGTCAGTGCCGCGCCGCCAACCTCCAAACAACTCCCAGCAGCACGCGCTCCCACCCTCTTTGGCCTCACTTTCAAACACACCGCCTGCACTTCCTATTGGTCCCTTCGGTTTAAGGCGGGACAACCCCACCTTCGAGCCTCCTATTGGCTTATATTTGCTTCTCGTCGAGTCCTTATTGGAGCACACTTCTTACGTTTCTCAAGAACAAGCTTAGGTCAAAAATAGGTCTCTTATTGGTTAGCCCTGCTTCTGTGCATGTTCTCGCAGTGCCATTGGCTGATTCAGGAAAGTGGGACGGGTGAAGGAGGGACGGTGGGGTAGAGGGTCAGGGGTTAGCGGGGCCGGAAGTGAGTGCAATAAAGTTTCTCCAGGGAGGCCTGCCCAGGGAGAAAGTTGGAGCGGCGACCTAAGGAGGAAGTGGCGTGATCCACAACCAAATCAGCCCGCGGTGCGGTGCGGAGACTCCATGAGGCACTGGTGAGTTGGGACTTTTTTTCTCCTTAGGTGACCCACTCCTCCACCCCGGAACCCCTCTCCCGGGACCCTACTTCCGGTCTTCATTTATAAGTCCCGCCCCCTGAGACCCCCTCCCCGGAAGTCCCACCTCCCAGCCTCAGGGGGCTGCCTGAGCCCTGACTTGTGTTCTACTTATTGTCCCCGACCCCACCCTGACGCCCAGCTTTCCTGGCAGTGCCACCCCTAGACATGCTTCCAAGCCCTGCTACAAGAAACTCCACGTTAGTCCTTCCAATTCCCCGAAACTCCGCCTCAGCGCGACGATTCTCTGCTAACTGCTGCGCACCAAAAACCCTAGCTCCCAAAAGGGCAAAACTCTGCCCCTCAGAGAACTACTGTATTCCAATTCGTGAGGCCACGCCTTTCTAGGGGCTCCGCCCCTCTAGAAGTCCCGCCTCTTCCTTAATCCACGTCGTCGGATTGCCCAGAAGCCTGGCCTCCTAGAACTCTCCAAAACACGGGCCCTAGGGGACTACTGTCCCTCAGGAGATTTAATCCTTGTGGAACCCAGGTCTTCACCTCAGAAGCTTTGTCTGCAACCCCAGAACTACATCTGCTCACATTTCCCTTTTCTTCTTCTCCTTTGCGCTTGGGCTCAGTTTTCCTGAGCTTTGCCGAAGTGCTCTGCCAGTGGGAAGTCAAAGTTCCCATCTCTGGGTCTGAGGAGTGAGAGATTAAGAGACAGCCCTTTTCCTCTCCTTTACCCCCTTCCAAGGGTGGCTGCCCGAAGGGGGCTGGGCTTGGGGTTTGGCACGAAGGTGGGAGACAGACTTGCTCATAGATTTCTGGCCCCACTCCCTGAGTTTCCCTTCCCAGAAACAGTAGTAATGTTTCATACCTGTACCAAGGGATCTGGTTGGGTAGGCCATTTATTTGACGTGTGACAGGAACAAAAGTTTTCTACCATCAGAAAACGGCGTCTTAGGTGGGTGTAGGGGACAGTGACCTTTTTGGTGGTTGATTTTTTTGTTTTAGGGGCTGCTCAGCCTCCACCACTTCTCTGGCTCTTACCCTCCCCCTAACCAGTTCTTGTCTGGGCATTCCTTCTGGTCCTTCTTGCCCAGCCTTCCTTTCTGGAAACATTCCTGAGGCTTTCCACATTTCCTGCTACGTCTGAGAAGGCACATGCAGCTTCTCCCCCACACCCAATCACCCGGACTCCCAGTAGACAATCTCCTTTTACAATCTCCTTTCTTTCTATGTAGAATGAGCCCTATTTCCTCTTTCTTTGCTTCCAAATGCCCACACCTCTTGGTCATCCCCTGCCTCTGAATGCTGCAAGCTCCTACAGAACGCCCATCTCTGAAAGGTGAAGACATCCTGGTGTGTGTTTGCTCGTGTCAGGGGTGTGAGGTTATAGCAAGCAGAATCCTTTTCTCATGCTCTCTATAGCTGAGCGCTGAGCCTTAGGAAATAAACTGATAGAATTCCTTCTCAGGAGTGGTGAATGAAATGACAAAGCTCTCCTCTGATGAGGACTAGGAGGGGGTGAAAGAGCTTAGCATAGTATCTAACATGTTTTAAGTGCTGTTATTGTTAATCGCTACAATCATATGATTATTTGCATCTTTTTATCTTCTCAAGTAATTTAAGGGTAAGTAATTCAGAGGTGAGCTTAGGGGGTATATATATCTTACTACTTCCTTTTTGGTCACTTTCCAAATTCCTCTATGGCCCCCTCAAGCAGAGCTGTGGCAGGAAACTGTGGGTGGAAGGAATGGGTTTGGGATGGTTCCCTGCGTCCAGCCTCAGCCCATCTCCTCTTGGCACTCCTTTCTCCTGTACTTAGCACAGATTTGTCTTCTGCCCCCTCTGTCCCTTCGTGGTCTCTGTTTCACTTTCCCACCTCCTCCAGCCAGACTTTGACCCTGGTATGAGAGGAACTGTGTCCCGTGGTGGACACATGGGCCCTCACCAGTCACCACTGCAAAAGGAGGAGGAGCTCACCTTAGTGTCAGTGCCCTGCCTCCGCCCCCTCTTCTACCCTTCACAGCTGGCTTTGCTAACTAGGCCTGTGGAAAAGGGGGCAGAACAGTGCTTATCTGTGAGCTACTATTCCTTGGCATGGTAGGTGCCACCAGCCTGCCCTCTGCTCTAGCTCCTCTTCCTTACCTCACCAGCTGTGCCCTTCCTCTTGGCCCCTCTCTGTACCTACTGGGACCACTTTCTTCCTTTCTCCATTTTTTTTTTTTTTTTTTTTTTAGTGATTTTAGAGAGAGGAAAGGAGAAAGGGAGGGAAGGAGAGAGAAAGAGAAACATTGGTTTGTTGTTTGACTTATTTATGCAGTCATGGGTTGTTTCTTATATTTTCCCAAAACCTTGGTGTATTGGGAAGATGTTCTAACCAACTGAGCTACCCAGCCAGGGCTTCCTTCCCCATTTCTTCTTAAGTGATTTTAGAGAGAGAAACATTGACCAGTTGCCTCCTGTATGCACCAGGGATCGAACTCAAAACCTAGGTATGTGCCCTGACTGGGAATCGAACCTGCAACCTTTCCGTGTATGGTCTGTTGCTCCAACCAACTGGGCCATCCAACCAGGGCTCCTTCCCCCATTTCTTTAGCTCCTACCCACAGCTGTTGTAGCTGAGGATGCTAATGGCCCAGGCTCCCTAGGGCTATCACCCCTCGGCTTGATAGTGGTGGGGAGGGGTGGCTAAGGCTGGAAGATGGGGGAAATTTGAGTATTCACCTGAACAGGAAGGAAAATGCTGAGCTCAGGGATCCCCTCCCTTTTCCACCCCCAGCTGCCTCTGTTTCCTCCCTCATTCCCTCACTACCCTCCCTCAGCTTCCTGCTCCCTTTGGCCTGCCCTTGTCCGGTTTGGATTGAGTCAGACCTCCTCTTATCCTCCTCCTTTCCTTCTCACTCCTCCATCCTTTCCTCCCACCCCTACTTTACTCCCCAGATACTAGCTGTTTGTATGGGGGTGGGGGTAGGGTAGGGATGGGCCAGGATAGCTCTGCCTCTCCAGGAGTTCTAGGTTGGGCCAGTGGTGGGGGCTCAGCCCCTCAGTGCCTGTGAGTCAGCACTGTCTTCGGGATTGGTCTCTCCCCTTAGCTTCCCGCCCTTGGGGAGGAGCCAGGCAGCTCTAGATCCAGCCTGCTCTTCTCTCAGCCAGAGAAGAGGCTCACGCTGGGCGGGGATGGTGCTGAAACGGTCTGGGTCTGCGCTGGGGGAGCCAGAGGAATTGGAGCCACTTGTTCCTCTTCCTTCCCAGGACCCTTGAGATCCCTGGGCCATAAAGGGCCAATCAGGCTAAGGGCCTGGGGATGCCCCCTGCCTGGCCCCCTTGCCCTGACTGGCAGGGGGGCCAGGCTGGGCAGCAGCCTCCCTCACTCCAGCCATGGATCTCCTGCCTCCCAAGCCCAAGTACAACCCACTACGGAATGAGTCTCTGTCATCGCTGGAGGAGGGGGCTTCAGGGTCCACCCCACCGGAGGAGCTGCCTTCCCCATCAGCCTCTTCCCTGGGGCCCATCCTGCCACCTCTGCCTGGCGATAGTCCCACTACCCTGTGCTCCTTCTTCCCCCGGATGAGCAACCTGAAGCTGGCCAACCCAGCTGGGGGGCGCCTGGGGCCAAAGGGGGAGCCAGGCAGGTTGGCTGAGGATGGGGAGGGGATCATAGAGGCAGCCATGCCAGACTCAGGCCCCCTGCCCCTCCTCCAGGACATGAACAAGCTGAGTGGAGGCGGCGGGCGCAGGACTCGGGTGGAAGGGGGCCAGCTGGGGGGCGAGGAGTGGACCCGCCACGGGAGCTTTGTCAATAAGCCCACGAGGGGCTGGCTGCATCCTAACGACAAAGTCATGGGACCCGGGGTTTCCTACTTGGTTCGGGTGAGTGAATATCCTCCCTCCCAGACCCCTCCAGTTCCTCTGCTCACTCTAGCTTTGCTGGAGTCTCTTTTTCCCTGCTCTTCCCTGGCAGCTCCCTTGGTTTCCGTGTCCCTTTTCCTAAACCTGTCTCGTTCCTTCTCTGATTCTGCAGCCCCTTCTATCTCTGCCTGGGCCCCCTTTCCTTCTTGTGACTCCCCTGCCCCACCCCCACCCTGCCATGCCTAGCACCATGCCCAGCCCATGGGAGGCCCTTAGTAAGTGTCGGAATGAGTGACTCTTAATTGTTCCCTCCAGTCTCCTCCCCTTTTCTAGAGATGTCACTTCATCCCACCCAATGCCTGTCGTTCCTCTCCTGATTCTCTTCCCAGATGTATGAGGTTCTCCCAGCTTGCCCTTTCCTTCTTTACTCATTCCCTGTTGTCTTGCATGTTGTGGGCTGTGGCAGAACTTATTCGGACCATGGAGAGAAAAGTCCTAGGACCCTTTGGGAAGGGGTTGGAGGGAGGCTGCTGACTCATAATCCTCCCATTCCTCTCCTCAGTACATGGGCTGTGTGGAGGTCCTGCAGTCAATGCGTGCCCTAGACTTTAACACCCGGACTCAGGTCACCAGGTTAGTGGGGAGGGGGGCAGAATCTGGGAATCCTGAGGCTAGTGAGGGGAGGAGGGGAGTGGGTCACTTGGTGATGGGGTTGGTGATGGCTTATCTTTGATGGTAAAGGGGATTGAGAG